TTTTGTTTTAATTTCTATCAATATGGCTGGATTTGTTAAAATTAGGTCCAAAAATACCAAGAAAAATACATTATTAACATTTGAAATGGAATTAATCTGACCAAAATCTAAAAACGTTAAAGTATCTACCAGTATGTATATAGTTAGAGAGATTTTTTTCAGGTAATGACCAACGTGAATACAGGAACACAACGGTCCCTGTTTGGGAATCGACCCACTGAGCAGTGGACCCAGACTTCCCGTGCCAATCCTTGACGCGTTTCGTCCTTGTTAGGACTCATCAGAAGGACATAGGCTGAAGCTCCCTGTCCAAGCAAAATTGAACTTCGTTGACCAGTCAGAAACAACTACTCCGAGGGCAAATACCCCTACCGGCGTTGAACTACACTGATTGGTCTGAGCTTTCGTTGGCAATGAAAATTGTTAGAGAGATTTTTTTCAGGTAATGACCAACGTGAATACAGGAACACAACGGTCCCTGTTTGGGAATCGACCCACTGAGCAGTGGACCCAGACTTCCCGTGCCAATCCTTGACGCGTTTCGTCCTTGTTAGGACTCATCAGAAGGACATAGGCTGAAGCTCCCTGTCCAAGCAAAATTGAACTTCGTTGACCAGTCAGAAACAACTACTCCGAGGGCAAATACCCCTACCGGCGTTGAACTACACTGATTGGTCTGAGCTTTCGTTGGCAATGAAAATTGTTAGAGAGATTTTTTTCAGGTAATGACCAACGTGAATACAGGAACACAACGGTCCCTGTTTGGGAATCGACCCACTGAGCAGTGGACCCAGACTTCCCGTGCCAATCCTTGACGCGTTTCGTCCTTGTTAGGACTCATCAGAAGGACATAGGCTGAAGCTCCCTGTCCAAGCAAAATTGAACTTCGTTGACCAGTCAGAAACAACTACTCCGAGGGCAAATACCCCTACCGGCGTTGAACTACACTGATTGGTCTGAGCTTTCGTTGGCAATGAAAATTGTTAGAGAGATTTTTTTCAGGTAATGACCAACGTGAATACAGGAACACAACGGTCCCTGTTTGGGAATCGACCCACTGAGCAGTGGACCCAGACTTCCCGTGCCAATCCTTGACGCGTTTCGTCCTTGTTAGGACTCATCAGAAGGACATAGGCTGAAGCTCCCTGTCCAAGCAAAATTGAACTTCGTTGACCAGTCAGAAACAACTACTCCGAGGGCAAATACCCCTACCGGCGTTGAACTACACTGATTGGTCTGAGCTTTCGTTGGCAATGAAAATTGTTAGAGAGATTTTTTTTCAGGTAATGACCAACGTGAATACAGGAACACAACGGTCCCTGTTTGGGAATCGACCCACTGAGCAGTGGACCCAGACTTCCCGTGCCAATCCTTGACGCGTTTCGTCCTTGTTAGGACTCATCAGAAGGACATAGGCTGAAGCTCCCTGTCCAAGCAAAATTGAACTTCGTTGACGAGTCAGAAACAACTACTCCGAGGGCAAATACCCCTACCGGCGTTGAACTACACTGATTGGTCTGAGCTTTCGTTGGCAATGAAAATTGTTAGAGAGATTTTTTTCAGGTAATGACCAACGTGAATACAGGAACACAACGGTCCCTGTTCCCCTGTTCCCAAACAGGGACCGACTAGGCGAATAATCTTGGATTTGTCATTCACTAACTGGTCCTTATCAGAGCAAGTTGCCCTCAAGAGAGTCACTTTATTAAAGTGTTTGATAGCATCACTATTACGAAGACATTCTTGTACTGCGGACTTAAGGTTTAAACAACAGATGATTAAAATTCTTTTTTTTCAGTGGAATGCATTTTGCTTCATATGCGGACATGGGAAAGCATTTCTCGTAAAAATCTCCGCTACATAATATATCATATATCACATGTTACATTAACATGATCAGAATCGTCGGACAAAGTAATTTTACATTGTAAACATGAGGCCATCTTTAAGTTTTTCAAGGTTAATTGGCTAATTTAATTTATGTATTTAAAAAATTATCAACAGGCAGCAAATCAATCAAGAGCGTAGATATGGGGGGGTAGAGGAGGTAATAACCCCCCCCCCCCCAGATCTCCATTTTTTTAGGTAAATTTGAAAAAAAATAATATTTTATTAGATGAAAAATATTGGGGATTCCAGGTTAAGTAAAATATTATTATCAAATAAAAATTATTTGTTTGATTATAAGGTTGGTAGATTTTTAGTCATGTGTCATATGCTCGGTCATATGTCAATTGTCAAAAAAACCTATCAAAACTAGCATTATAAATAAATTTACAAAAGTATGTACTATGATAGTACTAAGGTCAAGTTCTGTAAATGAGCTTGAAATTTTCCTCTAGACCCCCCCCTCCGCCCTAACTTTACCCCTCCCCCCAGATATGTAAAGTATCTACGCCCTTGAAATCAATTATATAATAAATTGCAACTAACCTCTTCTGGTCAGAACAAAACAATAAATTTCCAATTGAAAAGTTAATTGCCTCGATTTTTAACTCGAAGTTGCTATTCTGGACGTTTGACAACACTGCACCGTGAACTTGCGATTTTCGTGAAAAGGGTTCCAAAATCTTAGCGGAAAAAACAATTTTTCGCGGTTGGTTGCCCCTATGCAAACATATAAGTCACCACCAACAAGACACTTTGGGCTGGTTTTCAATAATTTTCGACACCAAAAAACAAACTGACGAAAACATTCACAAAAACTTAGCCAGCAACATGCAACGTTGCCAGGCCTGATACTACGGAAGCGCTGGAGGATCAAATTAGACCAGAAAAAGGGCCATCTGCGGAATGAGGCCGAACCAGCTGAATTTTTGCAGAGACCTTCCTTTTGATGTCCTAATGAAGCACAAAAAAATCGAATATGCCTACCCTTGTGCGTCTTGTGATATCGGAGGTAAAAGGTCACGAAAATCGTTTTTTCACGAAAATCTCGCTTCCAGTGTATCTGACGTCAAAGAACTCAAAACAAAACTTACGTAAAACAGTATTTCCTACAAAATTGTTCATATACATTTTTTTATACGACCAACCGTTTTCGAAATATAGCGTGATAAAAATACATAAAATTTGAAAAAAAAAGCAATTTTTTTCAGTTTTTTTTCTTTTTTTTGGGGTAGTTGTAGGTAGAAAATGGGGGTGCATCATACGAATTTTTAAATATCATTCCTACATCAATAATCCCTGAAAATTTGAACAGCCTAGCATTAGGCCTCCAGATGATATGAAAGGGGGTTCTTTAAATTTCAACACCCTGTATTTTGGAAACGACGCACTTCCGACCATCGGTATCCTATCTCAAATTACTTCTCTATGGTTCCTCTATATAATGTATAATACAGTATCACCTATTTAGAATATGCGCTCCCCTTTATCACGCTATATTTCGAAAACGGTTGGTCGTATAAAAAAATGTATATGAACAATTTTGTAAGAAATACTATAAGACCATAGTGTTGGGCAAGTAATCTAGTAGAAAAGTTGAAAAAATGTACGGTAGATTTTTTGCTAAGGCACTTAAGTTACACACGAACCCGGCCCGAAGGGCCGGAGTTATACACGAACCCGGCCCGAAGGGCCGGAGTTATACACGAACCCGGACCGAAGGGCCAGAGTTATTCTTCCAGAATCGAGATTCGAAAAAAAAACATATGACAACACGGCTTATAATACAATAAACGTCAAAAAATTGGCCCCTGTTTAGCTACTTTCTACGTAAATTGACAGCTGTCAACGTCAAAAAAGTTTTTTTTTTATTTTGTAAATTTCGAGAAAAAAAAATGGTAGAAAACGATCCTCGAACCCCAAAAACCTTAAATAAAAATTCCAAAAAAAAAAAACCAACAAAAATGACATTCCAAAACCTACTTGATAAAACTAAAGTTTTTCTCACTTACCCCATTAAAATATTGGAAATTTTTGGTGGAAAATGAAGAAAAAAGCCTCATATGTTAAATCGCTTTTTCCCATTAAAAAACCCCGGAAAAGCCGAAAATTCGAGAAAAAACTGACAAAAAATCTGTGCTTACAGTAAATGTTTTTAAGAAATATAGAAATATCTCAAAAAAAATTCAGTTTTGCGTAAACTATGTTTCAGTTAAATTTAAGGAATGTATCGAATTACCAATAACCCTGTATGGAGGAAATGTCAAAAAAAAAACTCTAGAAAAAACAAAACAAGGCTGAGTTCTTACTAGGATGTTAAATAATGTTTAAACATTTAGATTAGCGATCATACTTGAACTTTTTCTAATATGTTGCATCTAAATAATTCATTGCAAAATATATTGATTTCACTTAAAAATGTAACTATAAAGCTTTAAATCGTGAATTGATTACCAATGTGAGTTTGTGTCATGGAAAATAAAACAAAAGGATAGTGGGAAAGGAACCCAAATGTATCAGTGAATATATCACAAATAATGGAACTCTCTGGAATAGTTCAGTGGTTCATGGTTAAAAACATGTAGACAGATTACGAGGAAAATCCAAAAACAAATTTGTTCTATGGTTTTTAAAATTTGGCAAATACCATTTTCTGTTCAATGATGAGTCCAACAAGGGCATATTTTATTCAGGCACTTTTACAGCTCAATAATTTTTCCTAATAAAAAAAAGACAGTACATATTTAATCTTTCAATAGATTTTGTGACTATTTGGAAAACTGTGTGGTGTGTGGCTTTCATCGGATGAAATTATGTTTAGATTGGTGGGTTGTCAAATTTTGAATGCGAGTGAGCCCAACCGACTATTACAACTGGCGGCTGAGTTGTAAGGCAAATAGGCACTCGCCAGCTAAAGGAGAAAGTAGCATTTGAAGTTGCAAATATCAGTTGAGAAACTAACTAGATGTCATCCCCTGAACTAGTTAGGTAAATTTTATTTCAGGTGTAGAATTATTAAAACAAAAAAGGGGCTTGAATAATTTTTTCAACAAAAATATACATGCCAATAATATGTACTTATCGTAGTTTTTATTTGACAAACAAATACTCACCAAAGATTTAAATGATTTATCGCATACTGTACACCGAAAAGGTCGAGTAGAATCATGAGTTAATAAATGATTGTCCAAATTCCCTTTCTGAACAAAACTCTTGCCACATTGATCACAGGTATAGTCTTTTATGCCATAATGTATCCGTTTATGTGCCAGGAGATTTTGTTTAGTTCCTAAATCATAGTTGAAATCATAAACAGAACTTTTCCAAAACAAATTACCTACCAAACTTTTTGGGGCACTGATCGCACTGGTAACAATTTTTGATATCACTAGGTAAATGTGATCGAGTATGTAAAGTTAGTAGAGATTGCAATCGAAACGTTTTGCCACAAGTTCTGCAGAAGTATGGTTCCTCTTTGTGATGACTGGTCTGGTGAAGTTCGATCTCTTTTGACGTCGCATACCATTTGTAACATATATCGCAGGAATATTTGAGCAACGGTCTGTGATATCTTACATGGCTTATAAAACTAACATATTTGTAGTATACCTAAAAAATAACACCAGTCAGCAGATCATCATCATCAATAATTATTATTGATCTGCAACTTATATGGAGAAAAAGTGTTTTTCTTAAAGCTCAACTCTCAACTTCAAATTCAAAAATTGCTCTATTGTCATAGAAATATATATTTGTTGACAAAACAGACTAAACCTACCTATTACATAATAATATAAGTTGCTAATCAGCTACCATACCACTAAATACACTATTACCACAGCTATTACCAACAAGTCATAAGTCATCCATGAATGCCATCACAATAAATTTAAACTCTACAAGAATTCTGCTGAAGTCATTACCTATATACCACAAAAGTTCCGTTTCAGTAACATGAAGTGCCAAAACGCTTGAAAGCTTAGGTATCCTGTGTGAATATTACAAACATTCAATTCAACAGAGGACAGAGGAGAAGATGCAGAAAATACTTGGTAAAGAATTAACCAAGGGATTAACACCCTTTGTATTGGAAAATTAAGTCATATCAAACTTTCAACAAGGTTTTTTACCCAAGAGCTTCCCTCAAATCTTACAAATTGCCTGCTGGGCTGGGACTCGTAACAAATAGAGATATTTTCTCTATCTCTATTGACATCCCCCCTCTTTTGATTTCGAGAAGATAAAAGAAGACAACAAGTGCCATAGAGATAGGGATAATGATCTCTATCCATTACAGACTCCCAGCCCTGGGGCATTATGTAATAGGTTTCAAAAACTCTTACCTTAGGACAATCTAAACATATATATCTTGCAGTAAAAATATTGTGATCGGCCGCCAAGTGTTCTCTTAGTTCATCTGCTTCAAAAAACACAGTAGAACATTCCGGACAAGTCCACTGATATGAGTTCCAGCCTGCAATGCCCCTTTTTGGAACTACAGTTCCATCCGGGTTGACATACTCAATGTCTTTGAATGTTTCTGCTGAGTCCTGTTTTTTTATCTTTTTGTTGCTGCTCGACGATTTTTTTGTCTGAAAATAATAAGTTTGATTATAGGGTTTTTAGCGCAGGATTTGAATTGTGTATAAAAAAGACATCACATCTTTTTTCTACTCATCAGTTTGTCATATCAAGGATAATATTTCATTATTCATAATGTTTTCACAGGATTTTCTTTTTGAAAGTCTAAGTTTGTGTTATGACCTTCTGATTCTTTATGAGTCTCTCTCGTTCCTAGAGTGATGGCAATGAAGATGAAAATAAATAGTTGCAAAAACCGAGGCAAAAACTTTAACCATTCAGAGCAAGAATCTTCTTGTTTAAAATCACATATCTATTACCTACAAAGTGGCTTACCTTTTTAGAGGTTATATTACTTTTCTGATGATTAGGGGTATTAGATTTGATATCATTATCTTGTATCCGAGTGTGACTTTCCTTTTCAATATTTTTGTCATCTGCCTCCTCACTTAAAGCCGGTTTTAGTACAGGTTTCAATAAATTGGTTTCAGCAGTTTCAAATCCATTACCCTTGTCACAGATAGAACCTGGGATATCAGACACTTGTGTTCCTATAACATTTGGCAAAATATCTATAGAACTTATTAAAACACTATTTAGCACAATTTGAGCTCTATCTACTTGTTCTTTAAATTGCCAAATCCGTTCAACAAATTCGTAACAATTCTCACAAACTGTAGAAGGTAGATTATCAGCTGAGGAAATTTTCAACTGGAAAAACAAGTCTATTACTGATAGGAATCGCGTATTTTCCAGAACTTCGATTTGATTGTGATAGGGTTCTCCACAAAGGCGACAGCGAATTTCCATCGCAAGTTTCAATTATTACGTATAAATTCAAAATTACAAATTTAATTTACTTTTTAAATATCACTACTTCAAAACTTTACAAAAGTCTTGTAATTTGTTTTTTTTGAGAACTTTGAGAAAGTTAATAATAATTATAATAATAAATAATAATAATAAATAACACAATAGGTCGGTTAACAAAAACAAAACAAGTAGTTTTGTTTTTGTTGTTTTTGTTTGAGTTTGACGGATGTTGTTTTTGTTTTTGACATTGACAAATTTAAAAGGTGTTTTTCAAAACCCAATTACGGAACATAAAAGAGGTTTTCATTTGTTTCGGTGCTCTGCTGTTCTGACTTCTGAGAATAGATCTGCTGAGTGCTGGGAGCAGGTACTGCACTCCTGGATGGCGCAATGGAGCAATAATCTGTGTCCGGGTCTTTAACATCCACATGGTACGACCCAATAACCCTTTTCACGTAGCTCCGGTTTAACAAACCGCAACATACCGCTCAAATTCGAGTGGTAGGTATCCATCACGTCACTTTGTAACCGGGTTAGAAAACGGTATGTCATTTCTCACCGTTTTTTAAACCGGCACGTTGGCGCTTTGATAAAGGACGACAGGACGCCCTACTCAAAGCCAAGCAACGCGGTGTCGGGTTGGAGATTGGATGGGTGACCGCAGTAGTACGGGACGGTGGGTCGACCGCGCTGCCGCCAATCATCTGATCTGCAAGTATGAATGAGAAGGAGTAGAGCCCATACGAATGACATACAAAAAGCCTATAAAGGCTGCAGTGTAGAGTATGGGCTCGAAAGGGTGAAACCAAAAATCTAAAAACCGTTTTGTAACCCGGTTAGTTAAACCGGAGCCATGTGAAAAGAACTTATGACTAAATCGTCAGCTGTTTGCACTAGCGGTGTAGTTTAGAATTTAAATTTATGATGGAAAATATTATTTAATTTTGATTAACATAAATAGGCAAAGAGGAAGATGAAAACGAGATCGAAAAAAGAATTGTTTTAGAATGTTAATTAATGTAGTAAAATCAAGTATGCATAAAGCAAAAGCTCGCGGAATCATAACCTGTGGTACAAACAGCTTACGTCAAGGTGAGGAAGGACATGCTGCTACCTACTACGTCACAATTGGTAATTTTGCGTGTTTGGGGGTTTCAGATTTATTCCACACATGCCTTATGAGGATAAGCTATCCTGTAGTAGCAGTGGTAGTGTGCATTATCCTTGGGTACGATCAACAACCATCTAGCTGTATTCCTTTCACACCTAGGAGGAGCTCCGGAACAGCTCCGGGGCTTCACGCACTTATTCCTTTCGAAAAGTGTTTGCTACACCACGCATCTGTTCCCTGCAAATCGGGGGCGACTAAACACCGGAGCGAGTAGCTCAAGTGCTTGAAACTCTTGAAAGGACTTCAGCTTATAGTTGTATTGCTTTCAAGAGTTTAGAACACTAGAGCTACTCGCTCCGGCGTTAGTCAACCCTGATTTGAAAGGAACAGATGCGCTGTTTTTCGTGCATTTTGATGGTTTTGTTCGGGCTTGAGCACTTCAGGTGCAACAAACACTTTTCGAAAGAAATAGGCGCGTAATGCCCCGGAGCTGTTCCGTAGCTCCGCCTTGGTGTGAAAGGAATTCAACTTGAGTTCGAGTATTGATTCTGATTTTCGGTTCAGGCGAATTCCAGTTCAGGGCTGCGTTCGATAACCTGGTTGTTGATGTGAAAATTTCAAGGATTGGGGAAAGAAAGCACCTCAGCAACTGTCTGCTATCCGGTCACCTGTCAAGCCGTCACCTTGAAGTTTATTTATTTGACATTTACAAAACTTTGTTATTGTTGTTGTTGCTTTTTCCTTTGAAATTAATGGAAATAAAATGAACATTGTAGTTTTTGTCATAATTATTTTTCCGGGTACCGGTGTCCGGTGTTTTTTTTTGTTTTGATACTACACAACTACACAGCACGGCACAAACAATAGGGCTGTTCGCACAGCAATCACAAACCAGTCAGAGCGAACTTCATTGGTTGAAAACAATCAGAAACAGTCAGAAAACTAGTTTCAACCAATGAAATTCGCTCTGACTGGTTTGTGATTTCTCTGCGAACAGACCTCTATTATAAACCTTCTATTATTTGTTTTGAAGTGGTGAAACAGTGAATGCTTTGAGTTTCTGAACTCAAAATATATAAGTAAATGGAACTTTACTCGGGAAATCGTGTGTTGTAGAATGTGAAGTAGGTACTTGACGTATATTATTTGGACAGAAGATTCATCTTTGATCTTACCATGGAGCCTCTGGGCCAACTTTCCAAGAAAAACTAGGATAATTCGTATCCAGGCTATCAGCTACAACTGGACAATTTGGACATATCCTTTTTCTAAAACATTTTACAGCCAGGTTGTGGTGAGGCCGGCATTTTTCAATCCTAAAATTGTGTTCGCAGTAAAAAAACCAGGGTTGGCATAGAATTTCCCCAGGTTTTAAAACCCAGTGGCCAGTGGGGTTTTTCGGGTTTTTTCAATTGATAAAACCCACCATTATTGGGTTTTTTGAGGCGATTAACCGGTCGGTCATAGTTGACAGATAACCAATGAAGCAAACGTCATTTGTCAACCAATCGGTGATAAATGAGGGTAAATGCATTGTTCATCTGTCAATATAACCGATTGGTTATTCGCCTTTAATCGACTTTGGGTTTTTTTAAAAAAAGGGGTGGTCCAGTGCACTGATGCCAAGTGTAATTATTAGGCCTGTTTCCACAGAAATCACAAACCAGTCAGAGCGAATTTCATTCGTTGAAAATAGTCAGAAAACTGGTTTTTGGCGATTTGCACCAATCAAAAACGCTCTGACTGGTTTGTGATTTCTGTGGAAGCAGACCTAATATTTATATCAAGTGAAGGTGGGTTTATACAGCCACATAACATAACATAAGAAGTAACATAACATAAGATAAAAAGTTGACCTTATGCAAACTAGGGCTCGGAATTTTTAAAATTCAAGTATTCGAATAGTCGTTTGGTATTTTATTCGAATAGTTGAATAATTCGATTAGTCGAATATTCGAATAGTTGAATATTTGAATAGTCGAATATTCGAATAGTCGAATATTCGAATAGTCGAATATTCGAATAGTTGAATATTCGAATAGTCGGATATTCGAATATTCGACTATTTGAACAGTCGAATTTTTGAATAGTCGAATATTCGAATAGTCGAATATTCGAATATGTAGTCAAAAAGTCGAATATTCGAATAGTCTAATATTCCAATAGTCAAATATTGATTGAGGGCCTAATAGTTCAGTTCAGTTCACTTTATTTGATCTCTTTAAAATATAAAAATACATTTTGTACCCTTTCAGGTGTAGATCACGTCAATATAAAAAAAAAAAAACAAATTAAAAAAATAATAAATAAAATAAAATAAAATAAAATAATTAGACTGCAAGATTAAAACTAATATATGCACATACAAGCTTGTAACAATAAGCATCTAAAATATTATACGACTTTTATGACGAAGACATAGGAAAAAAACGAGATGTCAAATTTTTGACATAACGCTTCCTAGACAAATAACTACCTAATTAATGATTGTCATTGTCATTAATTATTGATATTTCAAACCATGAATTCATTTTAATAGATCTTGACGTTTTTTCCGAGGTTTTTTTCAGGTTTTAATCGAGGGGTAAACCACTAGGGTAAAAATGTGACAGTATTGCGCAAAATTAGGGATTTCGCAAAATTTCTTAATGATTGCACGGGATTTCGCAGAATTGTACAAGATTTCGCGGGATTTCTCGAATTTGCCTAGGATTTCGCGTGACTGCGAATACCTATATCAAGTAAAAACCCTTTAGGTACAAAAAAAAAAAAACGTTAGTAATTCTTTTATTGAAAACAAATCACAAATATTCTTTTAATTTTTTCTTGACCATTTCACTACAGTCTATTTTATCCCAAGATAGATTTTGACATTGAAAACTTTGAAACATAAGCAATAACGCTTGGCCTTGATTGGTCGCAAAATGAGGTCGATGCGTCCAAGGCAGAACGGCATAAGCGCCAAAAATCTCAAAAATGACTTAAAGGTATAGGTAGATAGAAAATTAGGTTCTGCGTCGGTCTGTGCAAACGGCATATCCGCCAAAAGATTATTCTCGCGGCAATTCCATTTTAACTTTGCACAAGCGCCAAAAAATGGTTTCCTAGCTAAATCATTTGACACAAACGCCAATCGTCCATAAGCTTTATATGATCGCACTTCACGGCTTTTTCTAGGCGAATTTTACAAGAAACCAGTGAGGACATTGATTAATTTTATATGTAGTGTGTTAAAATATATCAAAACATTGAATTTAAGCATTTAAAATATGAGAAAGTTTACAATTTATGGCAAAATATTCTCTGGCGCTTATGCCAAAACGATGGCTTGTAATTCAATTTGGCACAAGCGACATAGTACTATGTTATTTAAATGTACACTTTAAATACATTTTTTCCCCACACTGATGTTAATTTTTAATTAATGTAAAGTGTAATTTGACTTTATACGCTTCTAGTTGAATAACTAATTCTTTAAAGCTGGAATTTAATAAATGAACTTGTAGAAAATTGCTGTTTACTTCGTATGGTGCTTATGCCGTTAGTAAGTAATTAATTATTATTGTACTACTATCTTGTTACAGAGATTATGGATAAAAAATACTACTCAAGGGGCCGTAAACTATTAGCAATGGTTTTAGAGCAATGGCCCATTTTTATTGCAATATTTTTGTTGGCATAAACGACAAAAAAGATTGTTTAAAACAAAAAAGTGTTTTGGCACAAATCCAGTTAACCGCCATTTCACCTTCCAGATACAATATTCATTTGACACAAACGCCTCTGCGTAAATGACATAAACGCCACACGACGAACCTGTTTTGACACAAGCGACAATGGCCGAGTTCGTTTTTGTCATCTTTTTCGTCGATTTCCTCCGAAATTTTGACAGACACGTGATTTGTAACTTGAAATTGTCTTATTCAGTCACGTGCCTGTCAAAACTTCAGAGCAAATTGACGAAAAAGATGACAAAAACGAACTCGGCCATTATTATGGATTTATTTAAAATACGATGTTATTTTAAACATTTGACAGTTGAAATTTTTAACAACAAAATCCATACTAAATATCAATAGCTTGGTGAAAAAAAATGTGAAAAAAATAAAAAATTTAGCTACTGGGCGGTTTTTTGCCTCTCCTGTAAAATTTGCCAAATGGCGTTTGTGCCGTTCTGCCTTGAACCCATCGAGGTGTCCCTGCAGCGAGCCCTGCAGGTTGACACAGTTACAATGCATGTCGTGCAAATGGCATTTTGCGTTCAATAAGCGGCATT